AACCTCAGCTCAACACTAGAAACTGACATTCATCCATCTGTAATACCTTTTTTAAAAATAATAATAATAATCACAATAATAATTTGCAATCCATTCTTTATGTTCTCTTGCCCATTTAAGCACTTTCTTCTGCCAGAGTCATTTTTGAAACTCTGCATAAAGGCCGACAGCACTGTGGGAGCTGGACTTTAATGTGTAGAGTTCATTAAAGCTTCTAGTTGAGCAGCAGTGAGGCGTCTGTTCCTCAAACTAGAGACGAGTTGTGCATCTGGGCTGGGAATTTCTTTCAAAAAACATAAAAATGTCTTGGTTTTGCCAAACTTGGTAGTGTATTTCTGTATCCATCATTCACATATTATACTGTACAGTACATCATACATTCAAAGAAATTCAAAGCCCGTAAAACTACAAAAAAAAAGTATTTAATGGTTATTTCATATGGGTGCACTGTGCTGGTCAACCTTTATTTGACAGGAAAAACCCAAAGCATAGACTCGCATACACAAACAGTACCCCCCAATGACAACTAGATATTTTAGAAAATTTGGCCACCTCAGGGGCAGTGTATTTCTGCAGTACTGAATATAATTTCTTCTCAAAGCTGTTTAAATTCTTTTACCTAATGCCTGTAGCCTGCACTGAGCAATTGTTACGACATGAATTTATTCAAAATAATATGTTGCAATTCCAGACCATCCACCTTGCACTATATATGTTGGGTTGTTTTAATTCAGATTTAATTCAGTATTCGGATCAAATTTAATTCAGTATTCGGATCATATACTCTTAAAAATAAAGGTGCTTCAAAAGGTTCTTCACAGCGATGCCATAGAGGAACCATTTTTGGTTCCACAAAGAACCATTCAGTCAAAGGTTCTTTAAAGAACCATCTCTTTCTTACCTTTTTATAATCTGAAGAACCTTCTTTCGCCACAAAGAACCTTTTGTGAACCAGAAAGTTTCTTCAGATGTTAAAGGTTCTTTATGGAACCATTTAGACAAAAAGGTTCTTCTATGGCATCATGAAGCACCTTTATTTTTAAGAGTGTTAGTGTAAAACTAATTTGATATTTAGTGTTGGTCTTAGCTGTCATCTTCATTACCACACAACATCCATTCAGTTACTGTAATCTCATGTGAAACAACATTGTCATCCAACATCCAGTCATTAACATTTCAGTTTAAAAACAAGTGTTGATAGACCCATGTTACTGAAGGCTTAGTAGTGTATTTATTTTTAAGTTTTACTTTCTCTTCTGACTTGCAACACTTTTTTATTGATCTACCATTTAAAATATTTTTTAAAAAAAGAAAAAAAAAGAAAAACGTGCCAAAATGAAAGAACAAGACTACTGTGGAAAGATATGACATGGTTGATTTCTGAAGTTCACATTGTCTTTTTTTGTGCTTCATGTGTTTAATGCCTCTCTTTTGAAGTTTATTGCTTTTTGCTCTAGTTGTACATGTTTTTCCTCCCTCTGATCTTTCTGGAATGCTGTAATCTCTAAATTAAACAAACATGTATAAAACATATTTCTGCAAGTCATAGGGCAGTGCAACATAACTGACATCGTCACCATCACTGAAACATTGTTGGTGTTGTTGTTTAAAATATTAAAAAACAAAAAACATTGAGTTCCATGTTATGGGTTTATTTTGGGGGAAGGTACAAATTGTACTCAGGTATACAAAAAAAATTATAATAATAAAAAACTGGTGTCAAGCAAAGTAGACAAGCATGATATGCATGCTTTTGGAAACTGGAAATATTCCTGATCAGTGCTTCTGATCAGAAAAAAAAAAGAAGAAGAATATCCTTATCTCAAATTCATGGCTGAACAGCCTAACATACAACCTCCCAAAAATATTATGTGGGTGAAATGGCCATCTAAAATCCACACAAATAACACAATAACGTCCCATTTAAGAATAAATAAATAAATAAATGTTCACACACCTCATTTAATTGTTTTGATTCAGTATGAATTTGAGTGTGTGTTTGTGTGCTATATTTAGCTGTATCTGAGCAAGACAAATATGCTGGAAGCCTGCTTGCACATTACATAACAATTATGAAAAAAATGTTTTGTCTGTGTCCAGTCTGGCAATTGTCGGCAGAAAGCCACTTCATGTAGCGCTGATTAACAGCACCAGGAGAATGAAGGGCTAGATCAAAAGAGCGAGGATGATGAAAGAAAAAGGCTGGGCACTGGCCAACACAGACAGGATGGGCCATGGCCAGAATAGGTGCCAACATATCAGCAGGCATTAAACAGCATCTTTGCTACTGCCAGGTGCAGCAAGCTGTGCAATAGAGAGAAACACCTCCACCCTGGGAGTAATTATTTGTAATTGAAGTTGGCTTCACCGGAAATCTAAAAATGTGACACTGGGTCACAAAATGATACATATTGTGTTCCAGTACACCAAGTATTGCTATACAGTATGTTTCCTGTTTTTGCTATTTTTAATTTGTCGTACATTAAACAATCTGTCATACATCAATTGGAAATTGTATAATTCACATGAAGCTATTTACAAAAAACATTTTGATACAAATAATTTAAACCAAAATGAAACCGCTTCTTTAACATTAAAGGGTTAGTTCACCCAAAAATGAAAATTCTGTCATTAATTACTCACCTTCGTGTTGTTCCAAACCCATAAGACCTTCGTTCATCTTCGTGCAAGGTAACTACCACGTTCAAGGTCCAGAAAAGAATCAAGATGATCGTAGATGATTTTGTACAAAGTAGTCTGTGTGACATCAGTGGTTCAACTGTAAAGTTACGAAGCTACGAGAATACTTTTTTTTGCGCAAAGAAAACAGAAGTAACGACTTTATTCCACATTTTCGTCTCTACTGCGTCACTTGTGGACGCGCATCATGCACGTGGAAAGCCACCTCAAACTTGACTCCTGGCAGCTCAACCATCCTGTCAACAAACTCTTCACAAGACGGGTGCACTTGATATTCTTTTAAATGTCTTTACATTTTTAAATTGTAATTAATTTCATAAAAAATATATTTTTTAATAATACAGAGTTCATCTTGTACCAATATTCTTATTTTTTATAGCACAATTAAAGTTGTAAACAGCACTTTCAAAGCATTGTTCTTGATGGAACCTGTAAAAAGCATTCCATACCAGCATAAGGGGTTGCTATCATTCCTATGGCTATTTACTAGACATACCCTGAGAGTTTAGGTAATATTAATCTTCAAAATGAATTAAATTTGACATGTCCGCCTGCAACATATTTCTGTTGTTATTTTTGTTTTTACATTAAGTGAACTGCAACAACGTGCCCAGTAACATAGGCCAATTCTCTATCCTGAACTGTGATGACAGATGGAAATATGTGTCCATTTTAGGCTTTAAAGAACAATCTGTGCATCTATAGTATAATGAAGTATTATATAGTGATACATATGTTGCTTACAAAAAAATCTTCAGAATGCACGCCTACTTTCGCTGTCACGCTGTCATTGCCCCCCCCCCCCCCCCCCCCCCCCCCGGCGGGGACACCCGGGCCCCGCCACATCTTCATCATCTCACTCACGTAACCCTGCATCAGCTGCTGCTCCTGCCAGGTGAGAGGACAGATGCTTTTTTCTGTAATATTATGCAACAGACAAGAGATGAAATATTATCTATGGAAAAGTGTCATCTAAAAAAATCTTATTTCTATGTCCCCCCCCAGACCGGTGTAGCTGCAGCATTTACCAGCAGGGGCTAACTGATCCATGCTAACCACCAAAACTTTGAGATGTGGTCCAGAGACCACTGCAAAAGTGGCACACTATGATATTTGTTACTGATTTAAATGAGATTTAAAATCTCAGAGTGGAGAAGATTGCATATACTGCTCCAGATTGTGTTCTCAATCCCAGAAAAAAAAAATTCCCTCCACAGCCCCACTGTATGACATGCGTTTCTTCAAATTTGGGCTAGTTTGAACATACTCTACAGTGAGTGACGCCAAGAACCTCTGCAAAAATATTGTTTGCAGATCAGCAAGTAAGAAGATTCTTACATTTTGTCGTGTTTATTGTGTTCTTTGGTCATTTACCTGGAGGGCTTGTTGTCACATCTTACATTTCAAATATGTATTTATATCTGTATGTTTATTTTTGAAAGTCTTTGTTATAGCCAAGTAAAAAAGATACCATAATTTGAAAATATGTTTGTTGTGGAGCCTATTTGAGACTTTTCAGCAAAATATATGAAAAAATGAAACAAATATAAATAAACAAACATGTAAAAGGTAGCATACATTAGCATCAAATTAGTGTTATGGCCATATGTGTGTGTGTGTTTATTTAAAACATTTAACAGACAACTTGCCCTTATCCGACATTTTTGAAAAATACCCTTCATATGCCCATACTTGTCTTTGCCATATTATAGCCAGTGTGGACATTATAGACATTATAGCCTGTGTTCACGTTATCCCGAAATTGTATCTTCAAAAAAAAGAGAAGAAAAAAAAAGGTATTTTTATTTGACTTGTAGACCATTTTGAGATTTACAGTTATGCATTTAGGAGACACTAATCAAAATCAAAATACTTATATAAGCTTTTGTATTTGAGCTCAATAACGAATCTTGAATTACATTCCTTTACCCCGGTCTGTTAAAGTCAATCTCAAATGTCAAGACCTGTTAGTAGCATGCAGCTCAGTCAGTTATTTTAGCAAACTACCTGATTCTGTTTCAGATATGCATGAACTGTCAATGCAGGATGATAGCAAACATACTAAATTAGTTCTGTGAAGTCTTGTGTGTATATGTAGGCTATACGCTTCTCTAGTTTTTTCAACTGATCTGTTGTTAAATCTGCATGTAACCAACAAAGTTTATGCCCCTGTTTTGTGTGAGTAGGTGGTCCTTTACTGCTGTTCAAAAACATTTGACTACATCAGCGTTTTTAGTATGATTCCCATGTGGTCACATGTGTTTTCTACCACCTTCAAATTAAATTAGACAAACTGACTATTTCGGACATCATTTAGACTTGTATTGAGCATTGTACACTTGTGATAGGATTGCCCAAATTCAGATCTTAATAGCCAGTTTTAAAAGGGTAATGAGTACAATGAGGCCAGATTTTTCCATTTTTTAAGGCTCACCATAGACCTTATTTTGCGCTTACTCCATAGGGTGTTTTTAAAATGTTATATTAATGGATAAATGGAAACAAACCATTGTTATCAATCACTCTCTCTTTCCATGCAACCAATGTTCAGCAAATGCTCAAACTAGTTTTAAAAATGTTCACAAACATTTTATTTAAAAAGCAAAATGTGATGCAACTTATGTCATGAAAAGGGGAAGGGTTCAAATTAGGTGTAAAAAAAAATACAACAAAAATATGTCTATGGATACTAGAAAAGTGCCAAATGTTTGTGGGGTTAAACAGAGGTGAGTCAACCAAAACCTTATCCCATAAACCCAACCCTAGACTGTTAGAATGACACAAAAGAAATATCATGCAGCAAATTTGGTGTACTATATTTCTCTGAGAACAGAATAACACTTCACCCAAGTACACATGATCATGTAGTTAAGGTGCTGGTAAATTTCAGATCACAAAGTCTTTTTTTTTTTCTTTTTCAAGAGACATTCATATAAACCAGTGAGCTAAGGCTGACCACATTAACCCATCATCATTTCAAGATCTTTTCACACTAGGCCAAAACAAAAACAGACTTAATCTTTTCTACTGTTGGACCACGCTAGAATAATCCACCAAGCAGACAACATAGATTATCCAAATGCAACAAGGGGCATCGGTTTTGTTTGAAATGGGGTTTAAATATCCCACTACTGTGGTCATCATGGCAACCTTACGGTTTTAGAAAGGTATCATCCAAGAGAGGTACAGCACTATGCCTATCTGTTAAAAAGGCTGTCCTGTGAGCAGCTTCTTGTAAATAAAAAAGGGGGGAAACACTTACATTTAAGAGACCACAGCAGCAGCACACTTGCTTTGTCTTATTTACTGATCAAACCATTTGGCCATAGCATTTCTTTCCTTTCTTCCTTTCTAAAATGGTGGCTGGAATGCAAGGACTGGTCAAGGAGAGAAAATCAAATGAAGAGAATGAAGTGTACACTTAGGATTAAAGGGCTTGGGAGGGTACACATTTTTTTAACGGAGTATAAACAAAAACATTTCTGCAAATTCTTTTTCGGCAAAGTCCTGCACTTTGCAAGTCACAGAGAGGGTCTTTAACAATCATTGGAAACAAGTTAAAAAACAACGTTTGAACTGACAATTGCATGTTTTTACCTTAAGAGGCAACCGTGATCACACTGGGAAACAAAAACAATTCAACTGGACCAACTGAAGCACCATAAGATCTGCTTGTCAAGTATTATATTTCAAGTGAATAGTGATTTTGATGACACTAACAGGAGAAGTCAACAGGCTAGAGGGGCCTGTCGGACCCTAACGACAGCTAGACACTGGAATGATTCAGAGTGAGAAAATAGCTCACTGTTCACTAAGAATTGCTTTCATGTGCATTCAAAAACACTTTGCTCTGAGCCAAACGTGCCAACCATGAACACACTACATGACTGTTCTGATGACGTCTACTGATAAAACTGAAAACAGGCGAGTGCACTCCGAGTCAAGTGTGCAAAGAGTGCCTTAAAGAGTGCCATTTCATACGGTCATATCATTCATTATACATAAAAAGTTGAAAACTCATCTAAGATCAGCATGATCACTTTTACTCTTAGATAAGTCTTAAACATGAGAACGCTACTTTTAGAGAAACCGTTTTGTTTCACCACTGGTGCTCAACTCAGTAATTTTCCTCTTACTCTTAAATACTTGCACTTCAGTGTGAACACATCATTGTAGCATTTGGGTGAATTTTCAAAATACATTTAACTCTGGTTATATACTCCAAACTAGTTACTTTAATGTTCCATTGATTTGATTGTTATGAAGTCCACACTAAGTTACATGTAACTGCAGAAATTCAGTTTTTGGAAAAAGATAAAAGGAACTGGGGAAAGTAAAGACAAAAATAGACCATCCATACAGAACTCAATACATCAATTCCCTCTAACAACGCATAGCTTCTCCACAGGTAAAAGTGAGGAGGATGTCACACACTTCTCTTTCTGGCACACACGTGCACACACACACACACACACACACACACATATACACTGTGGGTCCTAAAAGGTCCCCGACTGTGTCCATACCCCTGAACCCTGTAAATTTCGTTGTGGATAGTGCTGTGCTCCAGAAGCTGTGAGATGTCTCGAGTTAGCCTGACTGGGTCTGTCTGTTCTCTGGCTGTGGACTCTGGACGACTGAGCCAATCTGGAGCCATGAGCACCTTGTGTGTGTGGTACTGCAGCGCTGTCCATTTTAAGGTGGCCTCTGGTAGGGGGAGAGAGAGCAGCAGACAGGGAGCTGTCCAACAGTTTAGCTTTAAGGCTTGAGGTGTCCATTCCACCTCCACTGCTGCTGTAAGGATGTGGCGCACATATTGTTGAGTCCACTGAGGAGATAGATACTGTAGAAGAGGACGGGCTTTCTTGGGTGAGCGGGCTGTGTGTGGGCAGCTTTGAAGGATAGTAACCTGGCCCCCCAGAGCTGCAGCGGGGAGGGGAGGGGCTTACAGATGGACAGAATGGAGAGGAGGAGCTCTGTTGGTCGTAGGCTGGGCTTTCCAAATGCTGATGGGATTCTGGCTGGAGAGGCAGCATCTGCTGGATGTTCATTAAAAGACAGATTAAGTATACAGTTTCCATAAAAACTATTAAACAGGACAAAAATTTTCAGCATTTATAATAATAATAATAAATGTTTCTTGAGCACCAGATCAGCATATTGGAATGTTTCTGAAGGACACACACAGTGCCTTGCGAAAGTATTCATACCCCTTCAGTCTTTTCACATTTTGTTATGTTAAACTGCTTTAAATTCGTTTTTTCACATTAATCTACACTCTATACACCAAAATGGTAAAGCAAAAAACATGTTTTTAACATTTTTCCAAATTTATTAAAAATAAAAAACTATTATGATTCCATTGCACGCAAGTATTCATACCCTTATCTGGAACAGTTTAAATTTAGCTCAGGACCATTCATATTGCTTGTAGATGTCACTACACTTTGAGCGAAAACAACCTGTGGTAAATTCAATTGATTGGGTATGATTTGGAAAGGCACACACATCTTAATAAAAGGTCTAACAGCTGATAATGCATATCAGAGCAAAAACCAAGCCCTGAGGTCAAAAGAACTGCATGTAGAGCTCAGAGAGAGGATTGCGTCAAGCCACACATCTGGGGAAGAGTTCAGAAAAAAAATTCTGCTTCATTGAAGGTTCACAAAAGCATGTAGTCTCTGTTACCCTTAATGAAAGAAGTTTGAAACAAACAGGACTCTTCCCTAGAACTGGCCAAACTGAGCAATTGATGGAAAATGGCTTTGGTTAGACTGGTGACCAAGAACCTGATGATCACTCTAGTTGAGCTCCATGATCATACAAACCCGATTCCAAAAAAGTTGGGACACTGTACAAATTGTGAATAAAAACAGAATGCAATGATGTGGAAGTTTCAAATTTCAATATTTTATTCAGAATACAACATAGATGACATATCAAATGTTTAAACTGAGAAAATGTATAATTTTAAGGGAAAAATAAGTTGATAAGTTTATGAGATTTGTAAATTATTCCATTCCTTTTTTACTCACAATATGTACAATGTCCCAACTTTTTTGGAATTGGGTTTGTATATGGAGATAGGAGAAACCTACTGAAGGACAAACATCATGGCCAAACTCAATCCTCTCCTCAGTGAAGACGCATGAAAACACACTTGGCATTTGCAAAAAAGCACATAAAGAACCCTCAGACTGTGAGAAACAAGATTATCTGGTCTGATGAACCTCAATTCTAAGCATCATGTTTGAAGGAAACCAGCTCTGCTCATCACCTGCAGAGTGCCATCCCAAAAGAAAAGTGTGCTGGTAGCAGCTTCATGCTGTGGGGCTGTTTTTCAGCGGCAGGGACTGAGGGACACATCAGAGTAGAAGACAAGCTCAATGCTTAGATAGCTTTAATGAAAACCCAGTCCAGAGCACTCAGAACCTCAGACTGAGCAGAAGGTTCACCTTCCAACAGGACAATGACCCTACGCACACAGCAAGAGTGCCTTATACACAACTCCGTGAATGTCCTTGCACTCCTTGCATTCAGCGACAGCCTGGGTTTGAACCCAATCAAATATTTCTGGAGAAACCTGAAAATGTGCGTCTGCCCCCATCCAACCTGACAAAGCTTGAGAGGTACAGAGGTGAGGAGAAGAATAGCAGATAATTGCCAAATGCTGATGAGCAAAGCTTGTCGCATCAAACAAAAAAGACTTGAGACTGTAAAAGTGCTTCAGCTAAATATTCAGTTAATACTTATGCAATGTACTTATTTCAGTTTATTATTTTTTAATAATAGAAGTTGTGACAGTTCTGTTTTTGCTTTGTCAATATGGTGTTTGGAGTGTAGATTGATGTGAGAAAAAAAAAAGTACTTTAAGGCAGTTTAACAAGATGGCAACATAAATTATTTCAGTTTATTATTTTTTAATAATAAGAAGTTGTGACAGTTTTGTTTTTCCTTTGTCAATATGGTTTTTGGGTTTTAAATGAAGTGAGAAAAAAAAAAAGTACTTTAAGGCAGTTTAACAAGATGGCAACATAAAAAAAAACGAAGGGGTATGAATACTTTCGCAAGGCACTGTGTGTGTGTGTGTGTGTGTGTATATCTATCTATATATATATATATATAGATAGATATACACACACACACACACATACATATAGATTGAATACTTGAGCAGCAGTCTTTGTTAGCATAAGAGATATCTTTCAAAACAAAACACAAAATCTTAATTACTCCAAACGTTTGACTTTTAGTGTATGAATTCCATAACATTTTCTCAAATACATGTTAAATCTTTTTTTTCCTCCGTTGTGCATCGTGAACATTCTACCTGATGTGCATGAAGCAAAGGACTTTTTAAGGGAGAGGTCAGAGATGAGCTTTGAAGATCAGACCTGTCCATCTCAACAGCATCTGACAAGACAAAGAGAATTAGTCAAACTCTGCTGCTAAAAGCATACTTGACTGTTATCGAACAGAAAACAAACAATAAAAAATTCAAATCATACCAGAGCTCGTGGCACGACTGCCGATTTGGTCATTAATTCCAGCATCTCCTCTATTAAGGGCACGCTCTATGTTCAGATTACCCCTCAGAACACGCTCCAGAGCACTCTGTCCCTCCCTCAACCGCTCAACTGATGTAGGGACCATCCTGATAGACACAGACAGAAAGTCACAGCAGGTCACATTCATGACGACCGTTCATTAGCAATCTGTGAGAATGTGTATGAAGAGCTAGTATTTAACAGGATCAGGTTTATTACATTAATTGAAATAAAGATAAAACTAAGCAAAATATAAATATTTGATGAAAAACAAACTGAACTCCTGAATGACTAGAAATAAAAACGGAAACTAAAATAAAAATTTTAAACCTAAATAAAAATAAAAACATGAATAAAAATTAAAAATGCACATAAAATTTACCAAAAAACAATGCAATGTGAACAACAGCACCAAACACTGAGGTTTATGCAAATACATTTCTCTAGTGCGTAGGCCCAAAAAGTTAGATCACAGTAAAAATGCACAAAAAGCATAAATGCCTGTACACAATGTCCTTCAAGAACAATTCTTCAGAAGTCTTTATTCACAGGCCAGGAAAAAAAAAAAAGCTCAACAATAACCACAACAGTGTGAAAACAATAAGATAACACAGAGCAGAACTGATGACATTGGTTGGCATGAATCTGTGTTCTTTTCTCACCAGTGGTTGGACTCTGGTCCGCCCAGCACTGTGGTCTGTGTGTGGTTTCCAGACCTGATGCCAGGAGGACTGACCTCCTCTATCTGTGGGAAAGCTTGTCGTTCTGGAGAGAACGAATTGTGCGGAGAGACTGAAGGCTGAAAATGTGTGCGTGGCTGTCCTGGAGACTCTGTGCGAGAAAAAATGGAGCTGAGGTTTGTGATGTGGGGCGCTGGGTCCCTTGGCCCTTTCTTTCTTTCCCTGTACTCCAGCAGAGAGACCTACATAGAAATAAAGAATATAAGTGTGACTAAAAGATGCATATGGATGACTAATAGGCATGCAGTTCTGTCCTTCAGTATCATTTCTTAGTACACGCATGCATAGTAACATTCACGTTCACATAAAGCAACTCATGCATGATCATTTGATGTAGAATGACATCATCTATAACTTCAATGGGTATGAGAAAGACACAGCATGCATTATCACCCAACGCTGCTATTCAGAAAAACACCACATTAAATGCTCGTACTATCCCAATCAAAAGCTGTTTAATAAAATTAAAAAGTGTTTTCTTTCAGCTAGAACAACTTGTAAAAATAACATCAGACCATGAGAAAAGATTTTTAAACTAAAATTCTAGACTTCATAACAACGGCAAAGAAAAACCCACACAAACATACAGACATATTCACCATGACAATTGCTTTTAGATTAGACAATGAAAGCACTGGTGTCTTTGAATGAATACAACTGGCTCTGCAGCAGTTAACTTTTCTTGCTCAATTTGCTCAATACAGATGAAGGAGTACATCATCTGGAGATGCAAATGTTATGGACATGCACACTTCTAGATGGAGGCCACTTATATGATATTCACCATATTCTGCCCTGGCTTGAACTGGCCTCTTACAGCTAATGCCTGGTACCCAGACAAGCCAGCCAGCTGACTACCAGCACTCACCATGACCCTCTGCCTTGAGAAAAGGGTGGAAAGAAAGATTTTGCAAGAGTTTTAAGAGCGAAGAGGAGGAAGCGAGAAACAGGGAGCAAATCAAAGACAGAGCAAGAGTTTCACGCAAGATAGAGGACCACCCTTCATGATATAAAAGTACACGAGAAAAAGGAATTAAACCGCCTAGGTTTTTCTAAGCTTTAAGAATAGTTATTTTGGAATAAACCGTTTCAGTTTATAGTCCAGCAGTTATTTCTTTACATTACACCAAGTCAAGAAATATCCTCTGTTAATTACATTTGTAAAGATGGGATGATGCTAAGAGAGAAGCACATTGGTAGGGTAACAGGGTAAGAAGAAGATTTCCAAACAGAAGATCTAAACAAAATATTTAATTTAGATGGTATTTGGTTGGTTTGTACCACGTGGGTCATCTTACCCCTGTAGCTGTAGTGGGGCAAGATGGTCCCCTTTTATTTATTTTTATGTTGTGTTTTAAGAACTAAATGAACAAATTATTTTTATTTCCACAATAATATATTGGATGATACATTATCATCATCCTGCACATACTAAAGGAAAAACAAACAACTTAGAAATGGAGGATGTGGCCGTAGGACTTGCCTTCTTCTTCTGTGGTGGATTGCTAGGGTTGGGGGATGTGCTGCGCTCTGAATATCCACCTCCAAACTGTGTGTCCAGATACATTGAGAGAGAGCCAGAGCTAGACCCTGCTTCCATCAGCAGCCCCTGGCAGCATATTGTGCTTAAGTCGGAGTCAGCCGTGGACAAGCCTCCCTCTGATTGTGGGAAGTGTCTGTCACTTACTGGACCAGTGGGTAGATTAGCATTGAGGGGAGAGCAGGTGTAAATGAGGTTAAATTCTGTCCTAAAGGCCTGTTCTCTGGCCTGTGCCTCACTGGCATGTGAAACCAAGGAAGAGTCACATAGACTGGACACAACAGCTGAGCTGAGGGGAGTCCCACCACCAGATCCATTCAGAGAGTCTGGAGCAGCAAGTAAGAAGTCATCTGACATAGGAGCTGGGCTTCCCCGGCTTGTGGAAAAGTCAGGGAAGGCAGTGACCCGTGAAGTAAAGTCTGGTCGCAAACAGGGCTGAACAGAAAAAAACAAATGAGATCATTAAAATCATTGAACAACTTTCCTGATGAACACTCAAAAGTATTTTGATGGGTAACACTTTACTTTGCTACAGGTCCCATTAGTTATTGTTAGTTAATACATTTAATAATATTACCTAACAATGACCAACACATTAATTACAGTTTTTATTAATCATGTTAGCTCAGGTCAATCAAATAATATTAACACATGCTTATTGGCACACAGTTATTTTTTAATCTACAAAATTTAACTTAGCAGTTATCTTAATTTTAGACAAACTACTTAATCAACACATCATCCAATCCAAACTTGTAAATGCTACACTGAAAAAAAAGGCTCATCTTACTTAGTATTTTGTTTTAAGAAGTAAAATATTCTTAAAACAAGAGTATTTTACTTACCCCACTGGCAGATAATTTTACTTGTTTTAAGCAAAATGGACTTAATTTAGTTCACCCCGCCATCTCCCTTGGAAACAAGACTAAATATCTTGCGTCAATTTGCTTATCTAGTAAATGCATCTTAATTTAAGAATTTTTAGATATTTTGACTAGAAACAAGACAAAAACACCAAGTAAGATAAGCCTTTTTTTGAAGTGTATATTACAATCAAGCAATAACACTTTCATGCATGTGTAAAAGAACTTAAACTTACTTCTGGAGTCAGAGATTCTGATCTGTGCACAGGAGAGGCCTCAGGAGAAGAGATGTTCTGTGAAAAAGAACCAAGTCATATATACAGCTACTATGTTTTCTATCACTACAGCAAATCTCTACAAGCTGCTATATTGAGAGAGAACTCTCTGTGTGTGTTCATTTGTTCACCTCAAACTGTAGAGGTGTATTGCAGCGGCTGGCAGGTCGGGATGTGAGAGGAGAGTAAGAAAGCATGGTAGCATTCAGCGTCTCCACTTCCCCACCTAAATGAAGCGAGCAGGGAGTCATGAGCGAATGAAGAGGCGTCATGGGAAGTTCAGAGGGCAGAGGTGGGGTGATGGGGGACAATGGTCGTAACAAGAGTTCAGAAGGTGGAGCTGCCGTTTCTGATGAACACTTCAATTTCCTCTTCTTAAATGGTCCTGTCAGCTCTGAACAAAGGGCAACATAAAAAAACACTCGTTAAAAAAAACCCCAAATCTATGATACTAATGCTTGTAATACACATTCTGCTGTCTAAACAGTGGAGTAAGAGCCATTACCAGGTTTGAACGGTTGAGAGCTGCTAGTGCTGCTGGTGTTACTTTTGTGGGAAGAACTGGACTCTGTTCCATCTTCCAATAGGCCAGATAACATGCTCTCATCCAGCGCTTGTTTCATCCACCTCTGCTCAGACAGACATACACAAAGCCATGCTATGCAGCAACAATAACAAATATGAGCCCCAATACAAACTTAAGGTCAGACAACCAACTCTTTGAGCAATTAAGCTACAATTTAATCTACATCTTTAAAAAAGCACCAAAAATCTACACTAGAGAAATTTAAAAAAATTATTTTCTGGGGAAATTCGAATGCCACTAGAGCAGCGTATTTACGTTAATTCACTTGTTCAGTAACTCATTCTAACCTTCTTGCAAGAACCATAAGCAGGGTCAATCATACAGGGTCGCCGGCGTCTTTCTGGGTTAAAGGGTGAACCAAAACGAACATAGTGTTTGGGGGTAGTACAGATGAGAGGTGAATGAGATAGTCCTGGCAGCATGTTGAGGGTGGTGGCGAGGACTGTAGGGTCTGTGGTGATGCGTAAAGGGCGTTCCACAGACTCCTCCACCCGCTCTGGAACCTTGTCATTTAACCACTCCGTCACCAGGTACTATAAAGAGAGAATAAACACATAAATAATACATTACTACATTTACAGCTCTGAAACATAGCCGACCACAGTCAAGTCACCTTTATATTTATATAATGCTTTATACAGTACAGATTGCACCAAAGCAGCTTTACAGTGTTAAACAGGAATAATATAAAGAGTATAAATTTATATTTTTTAAAAGTCACCACAAAATCAAAGACGAATATTTTTTATGGAATATTTGAGTGTTAATTATAAATGATTTATCTATGCATATTTTTTATTTATGTGCCATTTTTCATCAAAAACAAAAACTCCTCATCGCAATAACATCTCTGATGAAGTGTACACTTGGCTCAATACTGGGCTACAATCCCTCCCTTCAAGAAACGTGTCACTCACATGACATCGCAGCAGTTAGCAAATGACAATCCAACCATCCAATCAATTTCTGATGGACAAAATCCCAAGCTACATTTTTTCTTGTTTGAAAAGTCGCTTCACTCGGATATACAGTACATCACAACAGGGAAAAAAAGACAACTTCCATTTTTATGCCGATTTTAGTCACAATGAAATAAAAACGGAGAATTTTTTTTTTTTTTTGGATATTGCAGTGTTTTTTAAATAAATGTATCCATGCACATACATTTTTTTTAATTCATGTAAAATTCCCCTCTTGTAATGACATCTCTTCTCTGATTACATGTATACCGGTGCATGAGATCGCAGCAATAGCAAATGACAACAATCTAACCAATTCCTGATGGGCAAAATTTAAAGGGGTCATATGATGCGATTTCAAGTTTTCCTTTCTCTTTGGAGTGTTACAAGCTGATTGTGCTTGATCCCAGAAAAAAGCGTTTGAGAGAGGCGGGGCATTGAGGACCTACAATAATGTACAGTATTTGAAAAATAATGTGTTTTTTGAACATTAAAGCATGTCAACATATTCTGTTACACCAAATACACAAAATAATGATCTTTAAAAAAAGCATCATATGACCCCTTTAAATCCCGCCCTAAAAATCAATCTGATCTTATTATACTGGGTTAAAACTTTGCCAGGCAAAAAAAAAAGATTTTGCTTTTCAATAGTGCTAAAGTGTTTCCCTGCCTAAATCCCGAGACACTGGGATTGGATCCAGCATCCCTACAACCCTACACATAACATGCATTTGGAGAACATGAATGAATGAATTGTATTAAGTGTACAACACCGCAGTTCTCCTCATGACTTATGGCAAGAAATACATGACAATTACACTGTAGGATTTACAATGTAAGATGAACTCACCTTCTTGGTTTTTGGGTATCTGACATTAGTCTTACTACCCATCCCTGAAGTGGCGGCTCCACATAGTTCTCCATCCTGGAGATTTCCACAGTTTGGAGCTCCCTCTCCCTGGCCCTGCTCCCTGAGGCCTGCCCCTGCACTGCCTTCTTCACCGCCCACCAAAACTCCCTCTGATGCTTGCTGAGAAAGAGCCTGCCGCTGTCTTCGAGCACGCTGGGCTGAACTGGAGCGGTACCTGGAGATGCGGCTCTTAGGACGTGGTTTGGAACTGCGGGCAGGTTGCGATTTAGGGGCAGGACTAGGTGCAGCAGGGGGCTTTTCAGAGTCAATATCTGTTGTTTCCTAATGAAGAGACAGTGAAAGCGTGTAAAAACACACAACCATTATGAAACACAACCAAGTTAAAGTTGAGAAAAAGGAGAAAAAATGAAGTACCACAGCAGCAAAGGAGGTGCGCCTTGTACTGATTCCTCCACCTGCTCCTGTATTTGGAACACAGTTTCCTGCTGTAAGTGAGGGGACTGCTGCCTCCCCTGCTTCCAGTTTGGTTTCTTCAGGTGTAGCCTGCGCTGTGCCCTGACCACGTTTCTTTCTCCTATCAAGGTTCTCAAGCATGTGCATTATGGCCTCTGCCTTGCGTTCATCATGAGACTGAAGGAGGCAAAAGGAATAAGGGGCTGATATGGTGAATATAGGGCCCTGTAAAATCCATATATTCTGTTGTCTTTATTAATACAGAAAAAAAAAATATTAATCAAAAACTGAAGTAATCAAACGAAGGCACAAAACATTAACAACTTACTGTTTTAAAATGTAATCAAGTTGAAATCTAACAATTCCTGTTCTTTTTTAAATAAAATAAACAGCATTTATTGATTCATCACTGTTCTCCACTAATTAAAGCTTACACGTCTGTTTGGTATTAGTGCTCCATTCTCGTCTAACTCCTCCTCTCCATTCTCCAACTTCACTCTGTCCATAAGAGCATCCTGTAGCACAAAACAAGATCAGCTTCATCATCATGTGAGATCATCATCACTACATGGCAACGCAGCTGCAAAAAGCAAGTAGGCATTTACGATTGTTTTTCCATGAACACATACCTCTGTATCGCTAACTCCCTGCGTCTCATTTGCATCTTCCAGCAGGTGGTTGCTTTCATCAGATACACCAGTTACGAGCCTGTCCTCTTCCATTTCTCTGCGTCGGGCTCGTCTCCTCCGTGTTTCTGCTCCAGGCAGGGCAAAGTTTGAAGACTGGGGGGATAGCAGTTGAAGGGGGCGGAGATTGTGTCTCTGCACAGGACAGTCCTGATTGCCCTTGTGACATGCACAATCCACTTTATAATTACTGTGGGGAAAATTAGAGAAAAAGTGTCAATACACATCATATCACAGTTTATTTAGAATTAATAATAAATGTCAAGAAACGAATTTGAGTGACTAACCAGCAGCTAAACTCGTAGTCAAAGCCGATTGTGACTTCAGAATCTTTTGAAATTTGAGCAACAGCGTAGATACACAGGTGAATCATCCCCTCTGCTATCATGTGCCGCACCTGTGAGTTAGTGTATACAGGACAAAATAAATATAAATATGAATCAAAATTAGTTAGGCTGGAACTGAGCAAAGAAATTATGAACAGACACACTTTAAGTGAAGCAACCCTACGTTAACAGTTAGCATTCAACAAATTAGTCTCACACCTCAGCATTGGGTGTGCATGATCTTCTGATAAACCGTGCATCATTGCCAAATGTTCGGGCATCCACACATATCTCCACTTCGTTGAACTTGGAGTAGAACAGGACAAATGGATATGGCCTGGAGTGGAGTCAACAGAAGGAATTAGGAAAAACTCTCAATTTGCAATATATGTTTTACAAACAAGATACATTTGACTAATTTTACAAAATGGACCCTGATTCAAATCGAATTAAGATAAGATCAACTAGATGTTCAACAATATACACAGATGCAATCACACATACACACTTACTTTTTGAAAAAATGTCCATTGACTTCAAACTGCTGTCTGAGCATGACTTTGCCTCTATACTCAATAATGAGTGTTTCAGGGTCCAAATTCCGTGCAGCTCTGAGAATCTTCCTATGTTTCTGCACACGTGTTACACGACCCAGCTGCAACTACACACATGAAATTCTTGTTGGTAATTGCAGTAAATAAAAATAATCATTAAATGAAATCAACACACTACATTTGAACAACCATTTTCAATTTAATAAAAGAAAATTATTATATTATATAATAATATTATATTATACAGAGTGTTATTCAATTTTTAAAGTCAATAAAATGAATACTGTGAATACATACAAAACAAATAAATATAAACAAATTATCACAGATTATTTTCAAAGATCATCACAGAACAACAGGCGGGCACACACGCCTTAACTCTTGCTTATCAGTAAAACAGTATAATTTACAAGTTTAAAATACACAAGCCATGTTTTCCAGTGACAGTTTTTACACTACTGACTATGTGAGTTCATGGAAGATTAATATGTAATTTTATACTACGGGGGCCGCTGAATGCTTGAATCTGATTGGCTGACGAACGTTCTAAAGTGTGCAATTATTTTCAGGGAAACACATGGCGAACGTAGTTCCAGGCAGGTCTTGACCGCATTACATGTCCATATCACTTCGCCAAACGAAACGAGTTATTTCAAAGGTCCTTACAGCCGAAAACAGCAAAAGAACCAAAACCCACAACTACACTGGTCAAACAAATAAATATAGTAAACAATAGGATAAAAACGACAGATCATTTTCAATGTTTTTGCCACAAAATTACGTTTTATTATGTACGGAAAGCATATATTCTATCTCTCCCGCTCTCTTACCCTCAGAGACGCACATACAGTTTGCACACACGCCAACGTTGATAGCGCTACTCTTGACGATTTTACCAGTTTAACAACTTAAAAACTACATGACTTCTCACAAGCGAGGTAACAACAACGGAGCTGTTTGCGAAGACAATGAACTTAAAGTTTCACTTTTACTTGAGACATTGCTGCCGAATACTTTTGAGAGACGCACAGACTCACAAAGTTAATCCCTCCCATCTCTCATAACTTAGTTATTAGCTGCATCTGTCTGCTATCAACGGCTCAAGCCTCCGTTCTGGTCTAAAATGTCCTTTTGGAATTTGCAACGGGGCGTTGGATAAAATGCGGAAGAAATTAATCCGACTCACAATAGCGTTTTAAGTAGAAAAACCGGGCAAATTCCTTGAAATATATCATCTGAATGATGTCTTGAGGTGTGGTAAACGTAGTATAAGCGGAATAATTTGACTTCGGTCCGTTGAATTCTTAGAAAAGAATGCACACACGAGGTGCATTATTTTCTAAGAATTCAATGGCCCGTTGTCATTTATTCCTTACATAAATATATGACTTATCTCTACAATGATTAGTCCTGGTACTTGAATTTGATTGGCCGAGTGGCATTCCAACAGCATTGGGACTTTTGATTGTTTGTGCTCCAGATAAGCTTTCAGTCTCTATGTTAGTGGTGGTCATGTTTCATTGACTCTTTCTGCAGGTTACATTGTTACACCATTAGGTGGTGACAACTAGGGGTGTTCGGTTCCAGGCTTTTCGGAGTCGACTCCAACTCCCACTATTGGAGTCGATGGAATCGATTCCTCGACTCCATTTACCGTGACTGTCCAAATTAGTCCAATCTAGCGGTGACATGACCTTTAAATGAACTATCACCGTTGCTTGCTGTTGCCGACACTTAATTTCACAGAGGGAAAAGTCACGAAAAACAGCCGTGGTGGAATGTTCTCTCAGAATTAAATAAAAAAATAATATATACTTTAATTAATTCGTCACATTATAATGGTCAGGGGATGGCGCTAAACGTAGGCCTATATTGTCTTAAACAGCATTATTAAAAAATAAATACAATAGGCCTAAATACAAAAATACATACGAATGTAGCCTGTCAGTTTTTAATGATTTAATCTTAGTTTAATGATTGAATGGCCTATATGGAAAACCAAATGTAGCCTATAGGATATTGAGTGCATTAAACGGCTAACATTGCATAACAAAACATCAATTATACAAAGCTGTCACAGAAGCATGTATAATTAGAAACTATATTTACTATTCCACACCTGTTTCACACATACTCCATTTGAAGTGCGTGTTTTTTTCCCCTTTCCCCATGTTGAGCGTTCACTCGATGCGTTCCGAACGGTGCGTCTGCAGCATCGCAGCGATTGTTTCTGCACCGAGTCTATTTTTGCTGTGCTGCACACGCTGAATTAAAGGTACAGGGCATTGATCAGGTTAAAAATTTACATGGATTGATACGAAATGTATTAATTGCACCATAAATGCATATAGGCTAATTAAAGTACTTTTAGCTATAGGGGTAAAGCAAGGAAAAGTACCCTACACTTAGATAAACATGATGGTAACCGATGGCACTCCTGGAGTTAGAAAAAGTTATTTTTATGACCAGCAGGGTTACTTGTAATGTAAATGCAAAATGCAAAAAAAAAAAAGGCTGTTTCTGTCAATGGTAAGTTTTAATTTAAAATTGTGATAGCCTACTAACTTTTAACGTAAGAAAATTTACTGTAGGCTGTGTTTCCATGTTTTGCCACTTGCATGAGCATCTTGATATATAAACTTAATATATAAATAAGTACAGAAGTAACAAAAATAGGCAATGGTGGTCAGGGGTGGATTTAGGGAATTGGGGGCCCCAGGCAAAATATAGGAATGGGGCCCTATAAATTTTCTTAGATCAACCTTGAGGTTCTTTTTTTGTTGTGATGCTTGCTGCTGCACAATGGTGCCCCATAGTTGTGTCCAATGTTTCTACATTTTTCATGTACATGTTATAATGGATTTCTTTCTTGTTGTCGGGGGGGACCAAATGATCAGTGAGAGCAGAACGAATGTGTCACACGTTTTAAACTCAACAAAATGGTAAAATACATATATCAAGAGCATGCTCACAGATGAGAACAAAATAGCGTTGGATGAAGTGGATTAGAGCCCTGCACGGGTCTCAAATATAGGGCCTAGCCCATCTTTTCCCCCTTTTCCAGAAAAAAGCTTATAGGCTACTACTGTTTCAGCTATTAAAATAGTTCCGTTTTGTATGTAATGGAAAAGTGATTATATTTTGTTTAGTTTTTTTATAAAGTAAATTTTGAAAAACGTTTGGAGCATTTTTTGTTCGTTAAATGTAATTTAAAAATTTTATTTTTTATTTTTAATAAGTAACGGCCAGCGGCAGACAGTGAATTGATCATAGCCTAATTTAGCCTTCTCAAATCGTCACGACTTGCCTAAAATAAAATCTATAGATATAAAACAGTTCAAGCATATCACAATGTTAGTTTAAATGTTTAACCTAGATAAATGTGCGGTTATAGCACATATAGCACATAATATTCAATCGTTTGTGCGGAGAGTGGAAGCAGAAGCGCGCTCTGCAGGACATGGAGGCGCCAGCGCAAGCATTTATTTCCAACAGTGGAAACAATTTAATTCGCAGTCATTTTTGCTCATAAAGGTAAGAGTAATACATCATTCTAAACTGTAAAGGGACTAGTTTTATCTGTGTGCACTCACAATATCAACAAAACGTTGTGCTTTTATAAAATAAAGAAAACAAACGCTTTCTGCCGTCTCGGTCTTGAACAGGAGTGCTTCACAATGATGAACCTAAACTCAGAGAATTGCCTCACAGACATGATAAAAATATATAGAAAGCTTTAAATTACTACTTTAAAACGATTCAAATCGAAAATAGAAACTCTTTCATTATGTAATCCGTGCATTTCTCTCTAAAGGCATGTCCAATGAGGAGATGGCGAGTAATTTTTTTCATCACCATAATTGATGGATATCTAAAATATAAAAATAAGGAAAAGCCTAAAACAGGCACGATTATAATTTGCGTTTTATTTGATAGTTTCCATACAATTAAAAGATAAAACAAATTATAATGGCATATATGTAAAACTTTGTCCTATAATTGTATAGCTGCTTTTTATGTTGCTCTGTTCTGAATACCTTAAAATTGAAAGGATTTGCTGTATGATATGTGAATTATTTTAGCCAATTTTTTTTAACCTATGCAGCAAATGCTTTAAAAACAGCTTTAAAATTAATTTATTGCATTCCAGACGCTTTTATAGTACTTTTCACTATAAATTTTATGTGTAGCTTGAATGTAAACATGGTCATGAATTCATTGTATTCCCATTTGTAAAATAGCCAACAAATTAATTGTTGTAGGCTAACCCGATCTCATGAAAGTGCATAGGCTATATAGCACGATTTTCTGCTTCTATTTGGTGTAATATTTCAATGCAGAAATTGACTTTGGCATGCAAAAGACTAATGCCATTCATAATTAATGGCATGGCAGGTTCAGTCGACAGAAATACGGGACGCACAGGCCTATGATAACTGCTGAAATGTTTGCGGGGCGAATCTGAGGTCAGTCTGAGCGCTCATGGTACTCACAGTGCGTACAACCGTACACCTGCAGGCGCCACTGACTTGGACTGTTGTCGTGGTAATAAACACCGTAAACAGCAACCGTTCACGTGTCAGCGCTTAATGCGCATATCCTATATGAAAAGCATTTTAGGGGGCCCTTGGCTTTTGGGGGCCCAAGGCGGTTGCCAACCTTTGCCTAATGGGGAAAAAGTCAGACCCGATGGTGGTATTAGCCACGGATCATAGCGCACTGAGCACACTAAAGCCTGTGTTATACTTTCGTCCGGATTGCTCATGCGGAAAGTATAACAGAGGCTTAATAAAGCACACTGAGCCTGTGCTCCTTCTGCACCACATAGGCTAAGAACCGCACACATGGACTGCACTGCAAATGGACCCTCCCTTAATTTCGTTCACTCTTTGCTGACATAATAAAGCACTCAACTGCCATGCATGCACTATAGGAATTTAAGAATCAGTGAAGACATCAGCGATTTTGGAGTCGACATCGAGAGTCGATTCCAGTGCTGAGTCGACTCCGACTCCAAGGCTATTCAGAGTCGAGGAATCGACTCTTTTGGAGTCGACTCCCCATCCCTAATGACAACCTGTCTTTAAAAGCAAATCATTGACTCTGACTACGGATCCATTCAGGAACAAAACACCACTATTGCTGTGTTGCTCATACTTTGGCTTTGTTTGGAATCATTTTCACTGGTGTACCCCCGTCCCCAACACAATTTACAATTTTTCATTGCGTTTATGAAAAACAATCTATAATATTTAAAACACGATGCAGTCTTAAAGTAAATTTAACACCTTAAGACTTTGAGGACCTGTGAAACCCATCTATACCTGCATTTGCGAGCCCAACACAGTGTTGTTGCAAGCTAGTTCTGTTCTGTTAATGGTGTCCATGGCGACAGTAGATGGGGTGGGGGACGAGTTGCCATTGGCACAGTAGTGTTTGAGGAGGTTCTGCACATCAGCACTGTACTGGTTAGACAGAGCTTCCTCATACTGGTCCGTCCACTGCTGAATTCGAGTCTCCCATCCTTCTGTTGTATTCTCATCCAGAACACTAGCCTCAGACGCAGAATTCTGCAATATTCAGAGGGTGTGTGTGATTAAGAATTAATCTAGTTGATTTTCACCTTTGGTAATGAATAGTACTAAAGCTTATTTCCTAAGAAGAAGAGGTGGATCATCTATTTTTTTTTTTATTAGATAATGTGGCGTGGCATTTTTGTGTCCATACCTTCATTCTCATTGATTTTCTGGAACCCTCTCTGTAAGCCTGTAATGAAAATATCTTTTATTATAATATAAAACAGAGATGATGGGACATTTGTGAGACCTAGTGACATGAACACATGATTCAAACTGCCATGCCAAAGCTCCGACAGAAGTGACAATTCCGTTACAATTCAGGCATTTCACATTCGTTGTCTTTGTCATGTGAACAGGATTGTGCATGTATGCGTTGTTATACCTTAACCTTCTTGGCTTTAGGAGTAGTGCGTGTTTTCTCTGTGCTCTTCTTTCTCTTCTTGACTTTGTTGTGTTTGACTCTTTTGACAGTGAGAGTGATGCTAGTGGGTGTGTGTTGAGTCGCCGTGTACGACACAGCAGAAGCTGACATGTCCTCATCTCCACTCTCTGTTGCGCTGCTCTCGCCAACTGTAAAAGCAGATATAAATCAAGCTCAAGACCCAGCATGATTAACCCATCAGCACAGGAGAGAGCACTGACACTGGTAAGGTTGAGACAAAAGCATAATTTCTCCCTCACAGTGATAAATTTACAGATATAAAAAATACCCAGAAAAACTCTTTTAAACTTCATTTCTCTTTTCAAGAGATGAAGTTAGTCAGAAAATACAACAAATGACATTTTTTTTAAATATTAAATATTTCAATATTTCAAATATAAATGAAATATTACTGGGAAGAAAAGTAACACATGAAATCAGCCAGTGTTGAGTAGTAATGGACAGATGTTATCTGGATTATGTATGGTTGATAAGTCTATCCATCCAAATAATTTTGGCTTAGAGGTTCTCCAAAGTGTTCAGTCGGTGCTCCGATTTTAGGAATCCCAAACAGCACCTCAATAGCTATGTTTCCATTCAAAGTTATGAATTAAACATATGCACAAAATTGCAATAAAATATTTGCAAATAAAGCAGTTTCCATCCAGGGAGTTGAAGAGAACAAAATCATCACTTCCTGATTAACTTGCGCTAAATATCACAAAGAAAAACTAAATTCGCTGCAGTAGGAGAAGGCACTGTATTATAATAATTTGTGTATACAATAAATTACAAGCTTCAAAGCGTGCTGATGAAACGCGGTCATGTTATCTTATTTTCGGAGTCTGCTGTTTGGGAACGCAGTTCTTGGAGTCAATTAATACAAAGCACTTTGACGAGACTTTGCTCAAGCATATTAGAATGACAAAACAAGCATTTCAGATGCTGTACAATGAGATTGGTCCATTGGTTGGTCCAGTTTTATGCTTTCCCATCGCAAGGTCACGTCTTTTTTTATGTGCATTAAGGAATTTTCTCGGTAAAAGTGTTTTCATCATAGTTTATGTGCATGTTTTCTTACCGGATAAGAAATGTATCCTACTTAGTTGAGCGTATAAGTTTTTTATGTGCATTTTTAGAATTTATGCGTTTTTTTTATGCAATATCCCAAAATGCGCATAAAAATAGGTGGATGAAAACATAGCTATAATTATATTAAATTTTTACCATGAGTTTTATCTTTCACCTTTCTGTCACCTTTTAAACTGTTTTAAACTTTGAGACAAGGCTTTGTCAAGCCAACATGAAAGTTTATGACAGGTTACCTATAATGTTATATAAACTGAGTCAACATTAAACTGACTCCAGCTGAATAACGACATATTGTCTTCTGTAGAACTGCTTATAGCTGAATTGAACTTTCAAAGTTTCATAATTGATTAAATTTACACAGTTACTGAACTGAACAAACACTGAAATGACTTGAGCAGAATAACGACACTATTGTGTTGTTAGTGCTGCTTTCCAGCAGAATAAAATTTGGATTTCACTCATATTTGAAGTCTGTTTCACTGATTTTGTTATTTTCCTGTTTATTACTGTGAAGTTGCTTTAAAGAAATCTGATCTGGATAAAGCACTCTGTAAATATAGGTGACTTGACTACATGGTTTCATTGACATTTACTGGTACCTTATTTATTTGAAGTGATTCAAAGAAGGTCATGGTGATTATCATCAAAGATAATTTTACCTGAAACATTCTCTGCTTTTCTGCGCTGCCCATCCAGCCCTGTCTTCTTCTCCAGACCCCTGCAACAAGAATTCTCCTTCAGTACACATTTTCTATCCATTACAGCAATAACTAATTGCCATAACTCAAAATAAAGCTATTGGTTCTTATAAGGTAAACCACTGCTTCTGTTCGTCCTTGGCCATTTATTTGTTTGAAAAATAAAAACTTTACCAGCCAATAAGATATAAGCTTGGGGGAACATGTTGACATTTCCTGTAATCATTGGTTACATTTCAGCGATGGACTGTATTTGGCATTAAATCGAGTGATATCAGTATTTTCTGATATTAAAGCATATTAAAGTATTAAAGGGCATGTTTAAAATGACTGAATAACTAAATTCGAATTTTCTACTTAAATATGATCAAAATTCGAATTATATTCGAATTTAAAAGGCATAATTTCAGTTAGGGGTAAAAAAGCTTTTGGTTTCTCTCCTGAGGCCACAAGAGGGCGTATCGAGCAAAATAGTATGCACGTTTCTTCAAAGCGCAATAAAATAACAGGACTATCTTTGAAAAAAAGTGCATAATGTTTAAAATAATATTTATAAATTAGTTTATAAACTTGGTTTCAGTTTTGACGTAAACAACATCTTCTCCACACTGATGCTCTCGTTTTCCGCAATATATGAATGAACAATAGTGATGGGTCATTCTTGAACATTTCGTTCATTTTGAGTGATTTCATTTCCGTCTCAGGGAGTGATTCGTTCAGTCACGCATGCGCAACATCCTATAGGTTCTGTACTGGAATTAGTCAAGTAGTTCACCTGTTTCGAGTCTTCGGGTTTTTCGAGTCGTTCGTTCATCACGTGACAGCCCCATAAGTTTAACCTATGCAGTCTGAGCCGAAAAGAGACTTAATAATAATAACCAACTCTTTATTACCTTTGTTACAACATTCAGTGTTATGGAAAAGAACCATCATGACAGAAATTCACACATTTATAATCTGTAAAATCTAAATCTAAAATTTGAGACCACAAACGCATCACGTAACTGTAAGAGTAAATAATAATTATAATAATAATAATAATAATAATAATAATAATAACAACAACCATGCAACCGTTTGTAAGGAAGCTTATAAATTAACGAATTTCTCTCTCCAACGCTGTCACGTCACAAAAGAACGAACAATTCGAAAGACTCGAGAGATGAACTAATCAATTCTCTTTCCGGCTCAGACTGCATTGGTTAAGTTTATGGGGCTGTCACGTGATGAACGAACGACTCAAACCCGAAGACTCGTCAGATAAGAGGTGAGGTGAGCTAATCATAGACTGAAGACCCAGGTAAACAATGAATTAATCTTTTCTGTTTCTTATAGTATTATAGTTTTGCATTGTTTGTAGAGTGATCAACGTTTGCTTAAGTAGTAGACGTGTTAGGGAAGTAACACGTAACATTTTAATTATATTTTGCTAAAATGAACGAAATGACTCAAAAAAAGATTCGTTCATTTTGCTGAACGAGACTCAAACGTCCGAGTCGGTAAAATGATCCGAACTTCCCATCCCTACTGAACAACGTAGCAGCGCCGCATCTAGTGGGTTCAACTGGATAGGCTAACAAAAGCATTCAAATGCAATCAATGACACATACATCGTCATCGCATCTCGTGCGCCACTGATAAGGCTGCCTGACGGCTGACGGAGACCTTAAATTCGAAAGCAACGTTTTTGCATTCGAATGTGGATTTTTTTTTAAATTCTACGAATATTCGAAATTTAAAAAAAAAATTGACAGCCCTAAAGCATATAAATCACCAGAGTGTATTTTACTTTTCTTCAGGTATACAAACTGTTTTCAGAGAGTGACGAAACTGTGTCATTCTTAGGGTGAATAGTTTTGATGAAAAACTGCTTGTGATTTAGATCAAACTAAAACACAGCACAATCTAAAATGAGATATTTCAGATACAAATCACCTACCTGCAGCTCTCACACTTAATGCCATCTTGCATTAGACAGCATTGACACCAAGAAGGTGGAATTGTGCCTTCCACCACCTCCTCCTCCTCCGATGAGCTCTCACTGTCAGCAGAGTTGTCTGGTTCATTGGTGGGAAAACAAGGCCGCGATCGTCCCAGAGTGCCATTGCGTTCCAAATGGGAGAAAACGGTCTGGGAGAGTGGGGAGGCAGGAGGGGTGGGAGGGGGTGGAGCTCCATAGTTATGATCCTGACAACACACAACGGAAGACTGTTGCATCTTCAAACAACGGTGTTCAGGCACAACAAAAGGGAAAAGGAAAGAGAGAGGGAGAAGAGAATGAAAGGAGGTGAGCAGGGAAAAGGGGCAGGAAGAAAGAAGAGGTGGGAATGAAAAACTAAAAAACATGGCATTCAAAATTTAACAATATCTAATGTAGCTAAGAATGTTTTGGCTAAAGTATCTTAATTACACCACAAGCATAAATCTAAATAAACTTAATTTAAGTAAACATTGTTTAAAAAATGAGAAACAGTACTACATATGACAAATTGCTTATGAACTTCCTCATTTGAAAGGTGCATTGGATAATAGCATCTACTAAATGATTAAATGCAAATTCATTTCAATTTTACACTATGCACAAAGGCTAGTGGAACTGCAATTACAAATGTATCACCATGCACAAGTTTATTTAATATGATTCAGCACTATCCATTATTGAGATGCTATTAGGTAACACACTGACTAAAATGACAATGATTTAACTATAAATTTGTAAAAAATAAAAACAAGAATAAAACAACTTACAGCATAAGGAAGTCCCCCATATCCATGACTCTGTGTGTTCCCACAGCTGCGACTTGAGTAATTTTTCTCATTTACTGCTGGGCTCGCTTCAACTGATTCCGGACTGAGAGAAAGAAATATATTTGAGAAGCTTGCAAATAAAATGCTAGTTATGTATGTAGATGTGGTTCTGTAAACTCCAGATGACCGCCAGAGGCAGTGCTAAACAGTAGTGGATCATCACAGAGCCAGTCAGATAAGACAGACTGAGAGAATATATCAACAAAAAAAGGTCACAAAATAACCTCTGAGAATTCAGAGTGACAAAGAACTATGATGATCACCTGGAATTCACAGAAGAGCAGAACTCCCATGCTGAAACACAAAAACTAAATTGATGCAATATGCACAGTCCACTAAGGAAACTCCTTGCAAAAGTAACCCAAGATGAGGAGGCAGCTCTAGTGGAATAAGTGACTACACCAGGCTATGAGCCACTGGGCCTATAGGCTAGAGTGATAACCTCCACAATCCAATAAATGGCCTCTGTTTTGACATGGGAGGACCTTTAAACACATTGTAACAAACAAACATCTTATCTGTCTGAGACTGGTGGCATCTGGAGAACAAATTCCAACCTGAAGCATAGCGTTATCATGTAAGGCAGCCCTAGTGCTAGTAATGGTGTGAACAACAGCAGGTTCACAATCCACTAGAACAGTGGCTCTCAAATTTGAACTGGGTCAGTTGGTGGGGGCTCCAGGATCAGGGTTGAGAACCACTGTACTAGAATAAGGATGGACCCAAGGGTGAAACTCAGGTTGTTGGGGGGAAAAAAAAAATCACAGCCATCCATTTAAATTTCTGTGGTGAAGTTACCACATACTACTAGGGATGTAGCGATTAACCGCGCTTTAAAACGTCACGGTTAATTAATCGTATGGTTCCGCTAAACCGAGTGTTTCTGTTACACGGAACGGAACTGTTGCAGCTAGCGCAAAACTAAAAAAGTTACACTAGTGGTGCACTAGCTTAAAATTACGTGCTTATCAGATGCACGGAGGCTACTACATGCATTAGATTAACTCTGTGACAGAGGGACCAAACAGCGAAGCTTTATTTCCACCAGAGAAATGCTTGTCGATAGTGTGGTACCATTTTGGGTACACCAAGAATGACCAGGGTGTCATTTAAATATTGCTGTTAAAAAACTGCTGCTAAAGAGCGAATACATAAGGGATAATGCACGGCTTTCTGTACATTGAATGATTTTAATGCACGACTTGAAGGCAAGAACCACCTGACACGAAGCTACAGCTCGTTAGCTCAGCATTCTGCCCGCTTCAGATCAGACAGAGATTAAATAGTGTGGTAAGATCACATTTATTTGATTTAATTAATTATAACATTTAGCTACTTGAATTAATTATTCGAGAGAGAGAGAGAGAGAGAGAGTGTATATTAATAATAGGCTACTTCATTAACTTTGTTATTTACCATCCCTGTTGTAGTATTATTCATAATATTTTTTTTCACCATGTTTCCAAATTCTTTACCCCAGGTCCAAAAGATATGTAAAGAATGTACAAACTGAAAACATTAAATACTTTTGCGATCTATTTCCATTTGTTATTTTCAAAAGAGAAATACTGTCATGGATGTTTACAGAGCAGAGGTCACCTTTTGTAATTCCAATGGGAGAGATGGACTTTTGTCTGTCTTTTGTTTATTATTATTTTTTGCTGTATTGTTGGTTACTGTGTTATTTTGGTTTCAAACGCCAGCAATAAATAACACTTTAATATCTAAAGAGTGTTCATGTGATTTTATACATTAGTAATGTTGGGAAATTAGTAAATGCATAATAATCGTCATAATCGCAAAACCGTGATTATTCCTCAGACAATAATCGTACCAACAAAATCCATAATCGTTGCATCCCTACATACTACCCGGTAAAAGACAGAGGAAGAGAGGTAACTATGGATCAGCAGGCCATCAAGGTGCCACAGAGTACTCTGTGCTTGTGCAGAAAGATACTGTGTAATTTAAAAGTGGGATAGGGGTTTGCAAAGTAGGAAGTTAAGTCATTCAAGAGACAATAAATTCTGCCTCAGCTGGCTAGACTCCTTTGCCATCGCGAACCACAAGCAACACTGAGTGGTCCCTTCGGATGCAAAGATCCATATCTGCCTCAGTAAACCACTACACTGCATGAGTGAAACATCCATTCTCCTATTTGAAACTGATTTCCGGAATAAGAAGCTGCTACCTGATTGCCTGACACTGGTTGTCAGAAATTCCAACTATTGCAACAATCAATGTACAAATTCAATCCTGCTCCTTTGCATTCTTTTAAATCAGTTAAGAGATCACCTTGTGCCATATCAATCTTCTCTTGGTCAAATGTCTTCATGTGATATGAATTCGCAGGGCAGAGTTCACCAAACATGATCTTGCATTTTCACGCTCCCGCATATAAAAGAATGAATACAAGCAAGTGTTGGTGTTGCAGCAGCCTGAGGTGGAGTAGGTCATGCAGAATCACTGAAAAGGCATAGTCAGTATCCCTATAACTTGAGCAAGGAGCTGCAAAATGCTGGTTTCCAAAGCAATGTAACAGAGAGATATAGTAAGAGAATTCTGTGGTATCCCAATTAATATGGGGTGGAAACATGCAACTTATTGTCACATTTATAGACAGACGCATCTTTTGAACATGTTCCAAAAACAACCTGGTGTTACATACAGCTTGCCGTTTTGCAAAGGCACATTTAACATCTCATATTTTTGCTTTTGAAGTATACAGGCAAAAAGAAGACACCAAACAGCATCTGTGAAGTAAAAAGTACAAACTGACAAGTGACTCCAAATTAAGATTACCGTCTTCTGCATATAAGGTGGAATATCCCAAAACAGTCATAGTCTGTCTGGAATGACATGAAGAAACAGAACAAACTGAGACAGACTAAATCCAGAAGAACTGTGGCAACATCTCCAAGATGCTTCAAAAAACCTACCTGCCAAGCTACCTGAAAAACTATGCGTAAGTGGCACCTAGGGCAAAAGCTGCTTTAAATGCAAAGGATAGTCACACCAAATGTTGATTTAATTTTGTTAATAGAAGTTATCTGAGATCAGATCTCTGTGTGAATCACTGGCTGTAGTCAGACAAAAATCTCACTGGATTATTACAATTAATGGCAAAATTAATGTTTGGAAATGTAAACTGATATTTTCACTGACACACTACAACAAAATAACTGGCTTAAAATAATTTTTAGCTGGTGAAAGTACTAGTGCTCTAATCATTTTGGCCACCACTAAGACTTTGGCCATATCACCCAACACAGTTGTGTTAAATAATAATTATGTGACATCAATATTGACCACAATATTTGTGAACACTACAGCCCCATTTCCAGCTAACACTAGACACTTGATAACCAACTTCAAAAAGCTGCAGTATGAAAAATCTCTAGAAGGCGTGAAAGCAAAAGAGTCTGAGTTCTGAGCTACTGCAGCTTATAATCTTTGGCTTGTCACCATGAAGTTGCTGGCATATTCTGGTTGGTGGTTGGTGCCACAATGATCCACTATTACTACTTAGCACTGCCTTTGGCAGTCAGGAGGAATGAAAATATACAGTGATCAAAAGAAAAGCAGTGGTTGAAACCATGTTCAAATTGATTGATAAATATGTACTTTTAATCTTTCAACTCAGCCAATCATATAAAACCAATCACATTTTTATGATAGTTTAAAAAAACGTGTGCTCCAAAATAAATATAGTGTGAGCCAAACATTCAGACCTTCTGCAAATAATTTTTTTTTATAAAGGTTGTAAAAAAATTGTAAAAAGGTATGGCGAGTATGAAAAGCTTGTGCAACCTTTTAAAAGAAAAGAATGGGGTGAAAAAATTTGTATGTATTAACAGTAAACAAAGAGAAATCAAATCTTGAGTTTTTGACATGGTATCTGTGAATTTGTAGCACTGATTAACTGATTGGCCATTTAGTGTCAATAAATGTTGATATTTTAAATAAATAAGGTATGCCCAGCTATACTGGCTAACACGCAAAACAAAATAATTAGGTCTATTTTTCTCAGTCTAAACTAATTAATTTGCCTTCACAGAATTCCACTGTAAATTTAAAATTTCTCTCTGTAACAGATACTCTTAACCATGGCGAAAAAAAATGCACTAAATAAACAACTCTCATTACCCCTTTTCCACCGAAAAGATGCATGTTCTGGAGCCAGACCCCATTCTTGGCCAGTGCTCAGCCGGGTGGATTAAAGCCTGTTTCAAACTGACTCTGCGTTTCCACAGACTTGACATAACAGGTTTTGTTGCAGTGTGTTATGTGACTATAGTCCAAAGTATACTAAAACAATTTTTCTGCTGTGGAAACCCATGATTTGGATTGAGAATAGGCACCAACCAGGAACCTACAAAGGCACCACGTTGAAGGAAAAAGGGCTCAGAACAGAAACTTACTCTGATCCAGCGGCCATATCGGTGTAAGGTGTCTCAGGTGTGGTGACTCCCAGTGTGATTACTATGGAGAGGGGAGGGAAGAGGAGAATCAAGGGCTCCTAATGGCAGCAGCAAAGCACTCCTCAGATGGGGCGCTGCTATACCACATCACGCACATCAGGAGTCCTGAAACCATAGACCACAAAAAAGAGAGGGAGAGAGGATTAGGTATTGGTATAGGTATATTGTGTAAATGCAGCCTTAAAAACATGCAAAATTGTAGCACCCACAAAAAATATCTATGTTGCTTGGTGCATGCAATGTTCAGCTGGCTGAATTTTTTTTTATACATCATGATTAGTGTAAAATGTAGTCTACTACTCGTGCTAAACTGTGGTACTTCTTTACTCTGCTATCTGAAGAAAATCAGCAAGAGAAGAGAAAGAACAATATAATGGGAAAGGTCTTTGAAACTAAAAGTCTCAAAGTACAGTCCATTGTTTTCTTCATTCCATACATTTTTTTTGAATATTGCAAGTTAAAGTGGGCCGGCTGAGTTACAGAAATAGCAGATAATGCATGTCACCCTCAATTTACTAAAAAGCAGTGCTGTAGAAGTGAATATAGAATTATTTTACGCACA